ATTTTGTTCAGGCGGCGATAATCGACGCAGAAACGTAGGGTCCCATCCTTTTTCTTCACTAACACCACGGGGGATGCCCACGGACTCTTGGACGGCTGGATAATGTCATCTCGCAGCATTTCATCAACTTGTCTCTTCATTGCCTCACGTTCTCGCGTCGAAACCCTGTACGGACTCTGGCGGAGTGGTCTGGCATTTTCTTCGGTTATGATTCGATGTTTTGTGATTGGGGTCTGCCGAATTTTCGATGACGACGAAAAGCAATCTTCGTATTGCAGGAGCAGGGCCTTGAGCTGTTCTTGCTTATCGTTCGGAAGTCTGGGATTGACGTCGAAAGCTATGGGAGGGGCTTGGTTCCTCTGAGCAGGTTCCGCAGAATCGGCGAGGGCGAAAGCACTGGTGGCTTCGACAATTTCTTCGATGTATGCGACCGTTGTTCCTTTGTTCACATGTTTGTACTCATTGCTGAAGTTCCTTTGTTCACATGTTTGTACTCATTGCTGAAATTCGTGAGCATAACCGTTGCTTTGCCTCCCCGCAGCTCTGCAATTCCTCTTGCGACGCAAATATTTCGGGTGACCAACAGATGCTGACTGCCTTCAACGACGCCTTCCAAGTCAGGTGATTTAGGAGCGCCGACTGAAATAATGACGCTTGAGCGAGGCGGAATGGTGACTTGTTCTTCCAGCACATTCAAGGCATGGTGTCCTGACGGCGTGCGCGGCGGTAGTGCTTCCGCGCCTTGTCTTGTAGCAGGCCGTACTCCGGTGGGAGACCTTGCTGTCGGCGGCTCGTTCGCTGCTGTTGGTTGGCGTCGGTGTCTTCTCCGCGAAGGGGGCTGGGTTCACGGCTTGACGGGGGCGTCCGGTACATGAACGAAGCAGCACCTCCACCAGATGTCACGGGGTCGTGACGTGGCCAAAGACAGAAAACTTCGTGTTGGGATTTAAGTGTTTATTTGGGCGAACCTGTGCCCGGTAAAGGGGAAGTCTAATTACAGCAGCAGTCTTGCACAGATAGCAGTCTCGGACTGATAGCGGCAAACGCAGCGTCGGCCTTCGATCAACAACTGACAAGCGGCGAAGCGCGTCGGCATTTATACCCTTGCCGTCGAATGTTCTAGCGTTATCGCTGGCGGTGGCGTAGGTTCCAGAACGATCTGTACCGTTCGCACAGTGGGCGTGATCTTATCCAAATGATCTACTACAGTCCGGAACCTTCTCGAAACCTGCAGGCGCGGTTTGCGCCGAGAATCGTGTGGTGTTTCGGAACGATAACAAGAACTTGTGAAATGGAACGTGGCAATATAGTGCTAATGGCTGACAACAAGGAAGATTTGCGGAGATTGGTGGACATTTGCGGTAATGAGGGAGATAGGTTAGATTTGAGATTCAGTAAGGAAAATCAGCAGTCATGATTTTTAATGACAATGAAGGTAGTGAGCTTAGAATACAGGAGGTCACGCTAGAGATAAGAGATAAATACAAATATCTGGGCATATGGATAAGCAATGGGGCCAAGTACCTAAGGGAACACGGAATATACGCGACGATTAAAGGTAACAGAAATGCAGCGGTAATGAAAAACAGGGCACTGTGGAATTACAATAGGTATGATGTTGTGAGTGGAATATGGAAAGGGGTCATGGTTCCTGGTCTGACATTCGGCAATGCGGTTTTGTGTATGAGATCAAAGGTTCAAGCAAGATTAGAAACTAAGCAACGAGGAATAGGTAGGCTTGCTTTAGGAGCTCACAGGAGTACACCAAATCAGGGAGTACAAGGTGATATGGGATGGACACCATTTTAGGGCAGGGAAGCTAGCAGCAAGATAAAATTTGAGAAGTGATAAGGAAGTGCCTTATGCCCCTTAATAGACAAGGATGGATCAAGTGTTGCAGTGGCTCCATTTTCACAATGAGACTGGGAAAGGGCTGAGAAAAGGGTTCTTAGTGGTACATCAACAGGGCTTGACGGCATCCCAATTACGCTGATAAAGGAATTGGGTCCCAAGTCGAAGCAGGCTTTCAGAGAGGCAGCGAGCAAAATAATAATCGATGGTGAAGTTCCAGATGAATGGAAACTTAGCAGGATGAGCATGATCTATAAAGGAAAGGGGGACAAAGCTGACATAAACAACTACCGTCCTATAACGGTGACCTTGGTGATGCAGATTATAAAGGAAAGACTGCAGGCATCGATAGAGGATGAGGGGGTGCAGGTGGAACTGCATAATGGGTTTCGGAAACACAGGAGGTTGGAGGACAATCTGTTCTCGCTGATGCAGTGCATTGAAATAGCAGAAAAGGAACACAGGCCCCTGTGACTAGCATTTTTGGATATCAAGGGAGCGTACGATAGCGTAATTCAAGAGGTCTACTGAAGAATACTGGACACACTAGGTGTGGAGAATGGAGTCACTAATCTTTTAAAGGATATCTATAAAAGTAACAAGGTAGTTATATAATGGGAAAAACAGGTATCCGAACCCAGAGACAAAACGGGGGCTTCTGCTGGGGTGTTTTCGGTCATCCTTGTTATTCATGATGTACCTACAAGGATCAGAGGCCAAATTAGTGTGTAGTGAACTTGGCTTCAACCTCTTCTTTGTCAAACAAGGAAAACCCATTTAACAGGCACTACCAGCATTCATGTACCCAGATGATATAGTGCTAATGGCCGACAAGGAAGATTTGCAGAGATCGATGGACATCTGCAGTCCTGAGGGAGATAAGTTAGTTGTGAGGCTCAGTAAAGAAAAATCAGTAGTCATGATTTTTACTGATAATGAACGTAGTGAGCTTACGATACAGGAGGTCACGCTAGAGATAATGAATAAATACAAATATCTGGGTGTGTAGATAAGCAATGGGGATGAGTACCTAAGGGAACACGAAATATACATAACAACTAAAGGAAACAGGAAATGCAGCGGTGATGAAAAATAGGGCACTGTGGAATTACTATAGGTGTGATGTGGGGAGAGGAATTTGGAAAGGTTTCATGGTTCCTGGTCTGACTTTCGGCAATGTGGTTTTGTGTATGAGATCAAAGGTTCAAGCAAAATTAGAAACTAAGCAACGAGGAATAGGTAGGCTTGCTTTAGGAGCTCACAGGAGTACACCAAATCAGGCAGTACAAGGTGATATGGGATGGACATCATTCGAGGGCAGGGAAGCTAGCAGCAAAATAAAATTTGAGAAGCGATTGAGAGAAACGGGCGAGGAGCGCAATATCTGCATTTTTTGTGAGAATTGTCTTGAGACGATGTTTTAAACATGACAGTGATCTAATGAAGCTAGAGAGCTTCCTATTCAAGAAATGAAGTGTGTGCAATAAGCGAAATGTGTGAAAGTTGTCGGCTCGCACTATAATAAAATCTTGGAAAGCTGCGCGCGCCGTTCTGAACGGTTTAATATTTTTAATCTGGCAGATTGCCTTTTTTTGCAGAATATTGACTTTATTTGTGATTTGTTTGTTTCTAGTGGCCTATACAAGGCTGCAATACATCAAATGTGAATTAAATAAATAGCGCATAACATATCTGAAGTTTAACCTTGAGCGGCAAAGTCATAGGGCAACGAGACATCACCCTTGTTACCAAAGAAAGCTTTTTGCAAAGAAAATTTAAATGTGTATTCCAGCCTAGATTTCAATAAATATGAGCCCCAAGTTTTGTGTAAGTATTAACAATAGCCATTGGCACTGATTCAAAAATTAAGGTTGATGGGTAGTGAGTACTGTATTTGTAACACAAAAAACAATGGCTTTGGTTTCATTGGGAATTATTTTAAGCTGGTTGATTTTTAACCATCATGAAATTCTTGAATCTATATCATTTGCCCTGCTTACACTGTCTTCTAAGTTAAGGCCATGAGGGATTATAATTTAATTGCGACATATATGACCTATTGAATTATTGTGAAAAGCTGATTTTATTATGATCATCCCCTGTTTTGATGCCCGATGGCAATGTATGCTTGTATCATGCATTATTACGGCAATATTTCATGTTGAATTGTCAAGCATGTATACAGTACACAGGTATTTCTAAAGCACAAAAGATATTTTCACTGCAGTCATGAGCAGAGGTAATGCCTACAGTACATTTGTCGGAGAGGCCTAAAGTACCGTATATACTCGCATAATCCTCGCACCTTTTTTGGCGGAAAATCGATGAAAAGTTGGGTGGTGCGAGAATTACGCGGGGAAAACTTTTGACGAAAATGTACAGAGCAAAAGAGAAAACAATGTGGCCGCAAATCGGGATTCTCACACCAGCAACTAACAGCAAGCTTTGAGAAGTACTAATTAAAACTTACCTCAACATTAAAAGCACTGGTTCAACACAGGGCAAGATTTATTTGAGACACTAAAAGTGCAAGCAAATAGTCGAGAATTAGAATACCATACGCAAAGCTTGTGGGTGTTGCGGACGTAGCGGTAGCATTTGTCGTGCAACAGGAGCCCCCAAAAAGTAAGCGTAGGATGTCAGTATTGGGCTGATGGCTATTTAACAGAATCGTCTGCAGTTTCCTTCTGAAGAAATGAAGTTTATGACCAACATCAGCTTTAGGCACACGGCAGGCCCAACGCGTCTTGGTGGCTTTCAACTGCCATCATCAGTAGCGAACACAAAACTCGTAGACTCTAAAGGGCCTACCGGTGGCCCTGTTGCCGTTGTTTAGTGCATGATCTATCGCTTTCAACTTAAAAGCAGCTGTGTAGCTTCAGTATCGCCCCATAACGTGACAGGATTACCGACACAACATACAAAACACGCCGCAACGCGCACTTGGCTTGGACATTATTGCGGCAGTTTTCGGGGGTGCGATAATTACTTGAGGAAAAAAAGAAATAAGGTTTTTGCAGCTTTGTCCACAAAGTGCTGCTGTTACTCTCACTTTTTTGAGCAATCGCTGTAATAATTGTTATCATAGTCTATAATGACTGTGCCATGATAAAGTGATTGTCATTTTATATTCCTGCTTTTTGGTGTAGCTAAATGGTGAAGCCAAGGGCATTGGCTCGGAGGTGGAGGAATGGGAATCCGACTCCGGCACAGAAGAAGAAGAGGTCCCGGACCGGTCAGCCGAAGACCAGAATGAAGTAAGTGTTCAAATTAGTACAAGCTCTTTTGTTATCTGGGGTCAGCAAAGTGTTTGTGTTCGACCATTCTATGTGTGTCAACGTGAGACACCTAAGTACCAGTTTCGACGCACTGTAATCGCTTATGACAGAAAAGTGTGGCCAGTAAGGTTGCCTAGGTATACAAGGTGTAATGCACTCATGGATGCCTAACCTCCCTGTCCTGTTCCTTTTTCCGCCTCCTCATGGATGCGGCTTCTATTCCTGATCTGGGTTGTAATGAAGCCGAAGTTCAAAAACATCTGCGTTTATATTAAAGTGCACATCCGCCACTTTAACATGCCTCATGCTCATGGTTACTCCATGTCGAATTTGAAAATGAATTTGTAAGCTTTAATGAATTCTCATTCGACCCTTGAAATCCCACCGAAATATGCTAAAGGAATAAATAGGTGGAACCATTACGCGGCACTTTATACTCATGCCTCTGGAATCAAAACACTGATTTATAGCGTGGCAGTTTGACAGTCTACTTGGACAACCTGCATCACATTTCATAAAAACAAGTTTGGTCGTTAATAAGTAGGCTGGCAGCAACCATATGTTGCACTTGGGATGATTTCCTAAATTCAGCACTTAGGTCTTGCATCCTCTAATAATCTCGATGTTGCATCATCGATTGGTCCTCCTAACTACTATCAGTCTGACCAAAGTAATAGGCAAAGAGTGCTTCCGATCACACAAGCCATTCATTTGGCAAATGGTCAGCAGTTCTGTCAAGCTCCTACCAGACCTGGCAGTGCAATGGCCAGTGGGCCTTCAGTATATTGAAATAATGAATTTTTTTCGGTGGGCCATGTCTTGCAAGAAATAAAGGAGAATGAACCGTGATGTCTGATGTCTATGCCCACAGCAAATACTGTTTTTCATACCACCATGGCAGCAAGCTTGTCTCGTTTTCTTTTTCTCATGCGTGTCTGCTAGTGCTTTGACACCTTAAGATCAAAGTTTCTTAATCTTCACTGCCACACTTATGCAGGGCACCGCTGCAAAGGAGTCCGAGGCTGTTGCAGAAATGTCTGCGCTCGTAAACTACATTCAGCCAGTGCGATTTCACTCCTTCGAGCACACCGAAAGTGAGCAACACCTGCACTCTTATCATTGTTTCCGTGCACTACTTCGCTTTTTATATTGGGAGAAGTTTTAATTTCGACATGTTTCTTCTGTTATACATGAAATGCTGTCGGATATTTATAACCTTGTCATAGCCCAGTTTTGAATATTTGTGTAAAGTAATAAATTGATCTACACTCAAACCTCATTAAATGAAGTTCAAGGGCAGTCACAATTATTTCATTATATCAATTATAACGGTTTGTGGCAATGTATGCTCAGATGAGCGCACAGCTATAGGCATGCAAAGAAGGAAACCGTTTCGCAGCCCGATGTACTGATATGCGACCATGCGTGCGAGGGGAAAAAAACAGCAGTCGAATATCATTAACTCGAATGCGCTTAATTTGAACTTCCGGTTAATTCAGACTCGCGCTGTGGTTCCGTCAAAGCTATGTGTATTCCAGTGGGTGAAAACGCCCTGTAATTCGAACGCGCAAGCACTTGCGACGGTTAATTCGAACATACCGCACTCCAAAAATGCTCTCAGCGCCATGCCAATCCCACGGCAGCATCTCTCAATGCTGCGCGCGAAGAAAGAAAAAAAAAAAGGAAAGAAAAGGCGAATTTCACGCGTGCATTGGTCTCTATGCCTCATCAAAACAGTGGCTTTGTTAAACTCAGCTGCCCAGCCGCACTGCCGGCAATGGAGGGCCAGATGCGTGGATGGGGTATCTTTCAGAAAGCTAGCATGCTTCCTTAGACGGATGTGAAGGCAATGTCCCGTCTTCCCTATGTACATGCACCTTCATGACAAAGGGGTGGAGTTCCCCACTCCACTCCCACTGTCAGTGAAACACTTAGAGTGCTTTATAGAGCAAACATCAGCGCTGACAGTGGCCTGCCCCTTTTTCACTCTTTTGACAACTCTCGCATACACACTTCTTAGCTTTTTGGTAGCATAAAAAACAACGTCACTGTTATAATGACTGGCCACCATCTTCAAATGGTGCAACACCGTGTGAAGGTATAAGATAACAATGAACTTTTTTTGCCGATTTGAGGCCATACCTGCAGATGAGGAGTATACCTGCAGATGAGGAGGTATATGTGTTAGAACATATACCTCCTCATCTAAATAGCGAATAAAAAAAGGATCAACCAACTGCAATGGGGAACTCATGGCAACACGTCTGGTTTTTCACAGAGGCGTTTGAAAGGCTTTGCAGTTCGTTGATCCTTTCTTATTTGCAATGCATGTAAGGTGGTAAAAGTGTTTGCTGAGCATAACCCTTCAAGTTGCACTGCGTTCATCGTAGACATACATGATTTGTTTAATTCTTTGCCACATAGTTGCCTCATGAGCTGTGTGAAAGGAACTATTGTCGAGGACAATGATGAAGTGTTGTTTGGAAATAATGTAGGAATTTCAGTGGAAAGCTTCCTGGAACCACTTTGGTTCTGCTTATGCTCTATAGTTGTTTCATTTGGCCAGTGTTTGCACGCAAAAAAATCTGGTATCTGTATCAGTTCACAGGTAGCCCCAGTACTAAGCAATCAATTTCTTGGAAAAATGGACTGAACCCTTGAGTAGGACTTCGGGCATAGTCTAACGCTTGTTTTTAGATATGTTGACGATTACTTGGTCAACTTAATAGAGTCTGTGAACCAGGTCTTCAGAATGTTCAAGCAAAGGGGCTAAGGTCTGTGCTTTACTTCTGAAGGCTCAAGAGACAATGTCTTGCAATTTTTAGATCTTTTATTACAGTTCCTGAAGGACCATGTTTTCTGGTCTTATTCCCCACGTTTCATAAAGCCACTTTTAAGCTATCGCTCTGCTCATTCAAAAATTGTAAAGAATGTATTGGCCACATCTTGTCCTAATTCGGCTCTAATAAAGTGCTGGCTTCACGCTGTGGGTGAGAGTTTCTTATGGCAAGTTATCAGATTGGAAGTTGCTGGTATGACGTGCCTTGTCCTGGCCTCCACTTCACAGCGATTGTTTCGTCGCCTGAAAAGGGAAAAAAAGAAAGCCTCGATGTTGTGGGTGTGGCCTCTGATTAACAAAAAAAAAAGTTTGTCGCTATTTAATACCTGCATGCTGTGTCGCACTGTTTGAATAAGGTGGCCAGTCATTATGACGTAAACGTTGTCTTTCGTGCCCACAAGAAGCTAGTAAGCGTGTGTGCAAGAGTTGAAAAAAAGAGTACAAAAGGAGCATGCCACTGTCAGCATTGCAGTTTGTCTTATAAAGTACTCTAAGCATTTGACTGACTGTGCGTGTGCAGTGGTGTACTCCACCTCTTTGTCATGCGGGTGCACGTACAATGGGCAGATGGAACAGTGCCTCAACGTCCGACTGAAGGAGCATGCTAGCTCTCTCGAAGGTACACCATTCACGCATCTTGCCCTTCATATCCGGCAGTGTGGCTGCACAGCTGAGTTTAACAAAACCCCTTTGTTGATGAAAGATAGAGACCAGTGTGTGTGTAAAATTGCTGAAGTGTATGAAATCATAAAAGCTGGAGACCTTGGGGTGAGCCAACCGTCAATCCTTCTTACAGATAGTGAGATTACACATCTACAACATACTGCTTGATTACATGCTTGGGGGGGGGGGGGGTGAAGGTTTTTTTATGCCTGCATGTTTGCATAAATATGACACATTTTTTTATTAAACTTTCATTTGTTAGAAAGCACTGATCGAGTTGAATATTGGCTATAACTGCATTATAGAGAAAATGTGTAGGGAGGTCGATTCAGTTTTCTAAACCGTGCTACATTAAGCAAGGTACTTCTCAGCGCTCCTATATTCATCTCACCACTCATTAAAAGGTAACTATCAGTAAATTCAAAACGAAACAGACAAGCTGCATTTTCAAAATAAATGGTTCAGATAAGAAGCAGCCAATACCTTCACTTGTTTTATTGCCCAAGCTGTTTGAGGCATCGGTAATTTGTGCTCCGTCCTGCAAACCTGCACAGGTGGGTATGCGGCACAGGAATCGGGCAAGCCTCACTGTGGAGTGCAGCACTGCGGAGTGTAGAATTTAATGCAGCAAGCAATAAATGAAATTCTTAACGAAGTTCATGTGCAGCACTTGAAAGAGAGCAAAAAGAATTTGCCAGATTCTGCGTACCGTGAGAATGAATCATATGCAAAGCATGCATCAAGAAATTCACTTTTAATGAGCATAACATTATGAGGTGGATGAATTTAGTACTCTAAATGGGGGTGGACGTAATGTACACATTCACGTATCTATATACTAATAATATTTGAGAACTGGTTGTTAATGTATGCATAATGATGCCAATAACACGAGCAATACCAGCAGCAGCTGGGATACACTGAAATCTTCTTGTAATAATTCATGATGCTGGCTAAAGCTGATTGTTTTTTCCTTTGGTGAGACAAATGTTACGAAGTGGATCAAAATTATGGGCACTAGTTGTTTACTTTGTGAGCTTATCTGTAACACCCACTACTCTAGCGTTTACTGGTTACTATATTGGGCAACTTGTGATCTACTTTACATCAGCGCTCATGTTAGAGCACAGACGCATGTTTTTTCGAAACTTAAATCTTCTATATGGTGAGATAAGGTTAATAGCACACTTAACTTTTGTTAAATTATTCGCGCAGTATTGAGCAACGCCCAACTATAGCTCGCTGAATCATGCCGATGGAGGCGGAAATGTTGTAGGCCCGTGTGCTCAGATTTGGGTGCACGTTAAAGAACCCCAGGTGGTCGAAATTTCCGGAGCCCTCCACTACGTCGTCTCTCATGATCATATGGTGGTTTTGGGACGTTAAACCCCACAAATCAATCAAGCTCGCTGAATCATGGAATTACAAATGAAATGTTTATTGCAAGGCTATATAAATGGAGTCAATAGTGGAACGACAATTCACGTTAGTACGGCATGATGCCTATGTCATAAAATTACCTATATAAAGTTTATTGCTTGGTTATAAAATTAGATAGGCAGCACTGTAACCACTATAAAAGTCCTACCCACCTTGTGCTTGCATATTGTCTTTTTCTAAAACAGTTAAAGTCCTGGCAAGTTCTTGTGGTAGAATGCCTGGCTGCGATGCAGAATGCATGTGTTCTATTCCTGCTGATATCCTGATTATAAGTGCGAAGCATTTCTCAAGGAACCACAGACACTTTGAGCATTTTGGTCCACGTATCTGTGTATTTAGCCACATATGTATCCTTATACAAAACGTACCTAATATACACACTCTTGAGCGTATTCAAAGAAAAGCTGTTAGATTTATATTCAACAAGTACTCCAAGTTAGACTCGCCCATCAGATTTAATGCTAGCCAACAACATTCCCTTACTGCAGATGCGAAGACAAAAAGCTAGATTAGAATTTCTTGATCAACTTTTGAACAAAAAAAAAAATAGCTCTAGACCCATCCCCGTATTTGACACCCCTTAGTAGCCGGCCCACCCGACACCACCACCCAAAGGCCTTGATCCCATATTTTGCTCGCACAGACCTACTGAAGTATTCGTACTTTCCAAGAACCATATGTGAATGGAACTGTCTTACTAATACTTGTGATGAATGAACTAACCTACCAAACAACCTTCTTCACCCTTTATTGCTTCATTTCGCAATTATTTTACTTATATGTGTATTACCACCCTGCTTGGACCTCGAGTCTGCAGTATTGAATAAATAAATAAAATATGTCTGGGCGCTGTCGTGATTGCCTCTTTAGGTTCGAGTAGATAAAAATTATTGTATGAAGATGAAATGGTTTGACGAATGTGACTATCTGGTTATTACATGAATAACATGAAAATCTTGTCGCATAGGTCGTCAAACACTTTCCTCCAGACACGTGTGGTACATACCCATATACTATGGACTGCAGTGTGCAGGTATGTGCCACGGGTAGATCAACAGTTTATGTGCACCCAGGAATGGCGAGAAGAGACATTGGTAGTTTAACTGGCACAGCATTAAGAAAGGCTGACATCATCAGCATTGACCCCATTTA